GTGTTTTTATAAGGAATGGATCCAGGTTCACTTTTTTCCCCTTCTTTCTTTCCTTCTCTCTCCCCTCCCCCCCCCCCCCCCCCCTTTTTTCCCCATACGGTGATCCAGTTCTTCTAGTACCATTCGAAAAGGCTTTTCTTTGAATCTTTGTAAAATATCAGGTGTCCACATATGTCCTGGACAGGATCATCTATTCCATTGGTCTGTTTGTCTATTTTTATACCAATACCACTGTTTTCATTATTATAGCTTTCTAATAATTCTTAAAATTAGACAATGTTAGTTTTCTAACATGCTCCTTTTTTTAGAATTGTTTTGGTTATTTTAGGTCCGTTGTATTTCAACATGAATTTTAGAATCACTTTTTTCATTTCTATAGAAAAGTGGCTGGGATTTTAATTGGGATTACATTGAATCTATAGATCAATTTAGGGAGAAATTGACATTTCAGTAATAATGAGTCTTGACTCATGAACAGGATCTCTTGATGTGAAAACAAAGGCAAAAGAAACGTGGAAAAAATTAAATCTCCTTACAACTTTCAGCCCATTGGCAAGTCCTTGGGACAGGCAGAGTGACCGTCCTCCAGGAAGCCAACTGCCTCCAAATTAATACTTTGCAAGAGGCAGAAGGCAACCTTAGCTTGACATTAGCCCGACCTCCAGGATCCTGTAAAAATCCCTTTAGAAACTTCCTTTATCTCTGCGCCCCTCTCATGTGTGTTAGCAATCATCCTCCAAGCACGTGGGCACCGGTACACATCCGAAGGGTCTCACGACTATGGTTTTACTGGACAGCAGTAAATGACCCTTTCCTAACAACAGCTAGCCCCTTGGGCCCTCGAAACCTTGCTTCCACCTTCCTTAGAGACTTACGCTGTCCCCCACCCCCTCCCGACTTGCACGTATGTAATTGGCCACTGTTCACAACCCCAGTGCAGCTCTTTGTGCAGGCGGGTCCTGTCCTGTGCTCTAATAAGACCATGCTTTTTGCACTGAAGATATCGCAAGAATTTTCTCTTGACCGTTTGCTCCCGAACCCCAACATTTCATATCATCACTTCATTTGCTTAAGTATTTCTGTTGCCATAATTTCATAGTTCTTAATGTACCGGTTTTTCATATCTTTTATCAAGTTTGTTCCTAGTATTCCATGTTTTTTATGTTACTGCAGAGTTTTGTTTATTAATTCAGTTTCCAATTAGTCATTACTTGTATGTAGAAAAACTTGATTTTTTGGTATTGATCGTACGTTTCACAACCTTGCTCGCTTCACTTAGTAGTTTCAGTACTTCTTGAAAATACATTCCATATGATTTTTTAAGAAGTTGATCACCGCTATGATTAAAAACAGTTTTACTTGTTCCTTTTCAGTCTAGATTCCTTTTATTTCTTTGTCTTGTCTGGTTGCACGTGTAGAACTTGCAGTACAGTGCTAAAGTGGTAGGAGTGACAGTCATAACCTTGTTCCTGATCCCAGGTTGAAAACATTCAGTCTTTACCTCTGCTCTTAGTATGGTAAGAGGGTTTTTTTTTTTTTTTTTTTTAAAGATTTTTATTTATTTGACAGAGATCACAAGTAGGCAGAGAGGTAGGCAGAGAGAGAGGAGGAAGCAGGCTCCCCGCCGAGCAGAGAGCCCGATGCGGGGCTCGATCCCAGGACCCTGAGATCACGACTGGAGCCGAAGGCAGAGGCTTAACCCACTGAGCCACCCAGGTGCCCCGTATTTGATTTTTTTAAACATTTATTAATTTTTGAATGTTAAACGAACTTTTCATTCTTGGGATAAACCCATGTGGTAATGATCCATATTGTCCTTTTAATGTGTTACTGCATTTTGTATGCTGATTTTGTAAAAGGAATTTTACATGTGTGTTTGTGAGAGATAGTGGTCTTATTTTGTATTCTTTTGTCCTTGTCTAGTTTTATACCGGTCTGATAGAAAGAGTTTGAAAGTGTTTTTCAAGTTTCAATTTATCTCTTCTAATCTTTATTATTCCTTTTGCCGTCTTACTGCTTAATTTGCTTTTCTTTTTCTAGTTTCTCAAGATTTAGAGTAGGAATGTTGATTCAAGGTCTTTCTTCGTTAGTATAGGCATTTACAGCCATAGATTGCCCTCCTACTACTGCTTTTGCTGCATCTCATAAACTTTGGTATGTTGTAGTTTTGTGTTCCTTTGTGTCAGGGTACTTTCTTATTTCCGTAGTTATTTCTTTTTTGATTTCTTGATTGAAGAAGTGTGTGTTGTATAATTTCCACATATTTGTGAATTTTCCAGTATTCTTTCTATTAATTGATTTCTAGTTTTACTATATTTTAGTCAGGGACTGGACTAAAGGCTGAGAACAGGAAACCTGTTCAGTGGAAAGCCCATCTCCATCTTCCAGGAACAAGATCCCACAACATCAGAGGGGCTGATGCTGGAGCCGGGTAGGTTCTAAAGTCCTCTGGGGACATGGAGAAGGCTGGCACTCACTTGAAGAATGGAGCCGAGAGGCTCGTCATCTCGACCTCCTTCGCTGAAGCCCTCATGTTTGTGATGGGCATGAATCATGAGAAGTACGACGACTCCCTCAAGACTGTCAGCAACGCCTCCTGTACCACCAGCTGCTTGGCCACTCTGGCCAAGACTATCTGTGACCGTGGATGGCCCCTCTGGGAAGCTGTGGCGTAATGGCCGAGGGGCTGCCCAGAGCAGAGAGCATCATCCGTGCTTCCTCTGGCACCACCAAGGCTGCAGCCAAGGTCCTCCCTGAGCTAGCTGAGGGAGCAGCTCCCTGGCATGCCCTTGCATGTCTCCTCCCCCGGTGTGTCAGCCATGGATCTGAACCACCGCCTGCAGAAAGCCGCCAGGTAGGACCACATCAAGGTGGTGGTGAAGCGGGCACTGGAGAGCCCGCCCCCTCAAGGGCACCTTGGGCTCCACTGAAGACCAGGTTGTCTCCTGCAGCTCTAACAGTGAGGTCCACTCTTCCACATTCAGTGCCGGGGCGGGCACTGTTCTCAATGACCACTTCGTCATGCTCCATTCCTAGTACGACAGGGAATTTGACCAGAGCAACTGAGCAGTGGACCTTACGGTCTACATAGCCTCCAAGGAAGAGCAGCCCCCCGGACCACTAGCCCTAGCAGGGGCACAAGATGAAGAGAGAGGCCCTGCTGGAGTCCTTGCCCAACTCATCCCCCAACACGCTGAGACTCTCCTGCCCTCCCCACAGTTTCCATCCCAGGCCCCTGAAGCAGGGGAGGGGCTTAGGGGGACCTACCTCATCACGTACCACTGTCAAGTACACAGTACCGAAATGAATAAATGCGATACGGAAATTCCATGTACAGCTATTACAAATGCCGGGACACCTGGGGGGCTCAGTCGGTTGAGCGTCTGACTCTTGGTTTCACCTCAGGTCATGATCTCAGGGTTGTGAGATGGAGCCCTGTATCTGGCTCCAGCCTGGGCACAGAGCCTGCTTAAGATTCTCACTCTCCCTCTGCCCCCCCACTTGTGTGCGTTTGCACACACGGGCATGTTCTCCCCACCGCCCCCCCACCAAAAAGTTTTAAAAAGTCTGAGTAGGGCTATTGAAAGCTACTGAACACTACTGGGAAGTGTTAGCTCAGGGAGGACCTTGGCTGCAGCCTTGGTGGTGCCAGAGGAAGCACGGATGATGCTCTCTGCTCTGGGCAGCCCCTCGGCCATTACGCCACAGCTTCCCAGAGGGGCCATCCATGGTCACAGATAGTCTTGGCCAGAGTGGCCAAGCAGCTGGTGGTACAGGAGGCGTTGCTGACAGTCTTGAGGGAGTCGTCGTACTTCTCATGATTCATGCCCATCACAAACATGAGGGCTTCAGCGAAGGAGGTCGAGATGACGAGCCTCTCGGCTCCATTCTTCAAGTGAGTGCCAGCCTTCTCCATGTCCCCAGAGGACTTTAGAACCTACCCGGCTCCAGCATCAGCCCCTCTGATGTTGTGGGATCTTGTTCCTGGAAGATGGAGAAGGGCTTTCCACTGAACACAGGTTTCCTGTTCTCAGCCTGGATTGTGGCATTGAATTTGCCACGGGTGGCCTCCTACTGGAACATGTAGACCTTCACCGTTGTGTCTCAGGTGCAAGCGGCACTGCACAGAAGTGGCCCTCTGTCAAATAGGAAGGAGCAGAGAGCCAAAACTTTTACGTTTTAAAATGTTATGTCAGGGGGCGCCTGGGTGGCTCAGTGGGTTAAAGCCTCTGCCTTTGGCTCAGGTCATGATCCCAGGGTCCTGGGATCGAGCCCCGCATCGGGCTCTCTGCACAGCAGGGAGCCTGCTTCCCTCTCTCTCTCTGCCTGCCTCTCTGCCTACTTGTGATCCCTGTCTGTCAAATAAATAAATAAATAATCTTAAAAAAAAATGTTACGTCAGGAATCCTTAAAATAAAAACGTTGTTTCAGTACAGATCTTCCTCATCTTACTGAGTTATATCCTGATAAGCTTGCCGCAACTCGAAAATGCTATAATTCAAACATGTGTGGACCTAACCTGCTTAACATTGTATTATAGTTCAGCCTGGCCTGTTTAAGGCAAAATCATGTAATGTAACACAAAGCCTGTTTTATAATAAAGTGTTAGCTGTGTTTTGTGACGTATTGCATATATTGTGCTGGTGTGAACGGTGTGAATATATTGTACCGAAAGTGACAAACAGAACGGTTGTGCGGGGACAGATGGTTGTTCTTGTATTGCTTGTTTACCCTCATGATCCCTTGCCTACTGGGAGCTGTGGCTGTTGCTGTTCCCTGCCCAGCATTATGAGAAAGAACTGTACTGCACATTGCCAGCTCGGGGAAAAGACCCACATTGGTAATTCGAAGTATGGTTTTCACTGAATGCATGTTGCTTTTGCAGCATTGCAGAGTTGAAAATCACAAGTTAAACCATTGTTAAGTCAGGGGCCATCAGTATTAGAACATCTGTGTCTGTTTTACTTTAATAAGACTGACTTATGGCCTCTCTTTCACAGATGATGACTTCGACCAGTTTGATAAGCCTGGCGCAGAGCGATCTTGGAGAAGAAGAGCCGCTGACGAGGACTGGGACAGGTACAGAACGACTGGTTCTTGTAGTTCGTGCTGATTTCTCTCATTCTGCCGCTTGGCTCTCAGAGATTTTTCTTTTTTTTAAATTAAGATTTTATGTTTACGTAACCTCCACACCCAGTGTGGGGCTCAAACTCAAAACCTGAAGATCGAGTGTCGCTGCTCCACACACTGAGCCAGCCAGGCGTCCCGGCTCCACAGAGATCTTTCCTGAGGACGGTATATTGGCTCTCTGATGCTCTTTTCCAAGTGGGCCTGTCCCTGCTGTGCTGATGTGAGTACAGGGGCAGGTCTTCCAGGTAGGAAGGTAAGGCCTTTCTGGTAGGCTCCAGTTCCAGGCCTGTATTGTCTATAGGGCCCTGTTGTCCCTTCTGTCTCTGTGTTTTTAGGCAGTGGTGGTACTGATTTGGTGGATCCCCAGAGCTGTCATTGCCAGAGTTCTTTTGTTCTGTGGCCTGCCTAATATTTGGCTAGACTTTAAAATTTTTCCCAATTTTGTATGTGTATAATAGTCTCTCACTATAATTTTAAATTTTTATTTCTCTGATTACTAGTGAACATGGAAATGTCTTTAGGGATACACACATATGCAGTAAAGGGCTAAAAACATTCACAGTAGTGATAAATGTCAGTTCTGTATAGTGATTACTGCTGGTGAGGCGCTCTAGTAGGAGTTAGAGGGATGAGTACTGGCAGAAGTACGTGGGGCATAGTCCAGGTGGTGGGGTTCTCAAATGAGGATTATTCTCTACACTTTTGTCTAAGATTTATTTATTTTAGAGAGCTCGGGGGAGGGGCAGAGGAAGAAGGAGAGAGAGAATCTTCAGCAGGCTCCATGCTCAGTGCGGGCCCCACACAGGGCTTGATCTTATGACCCTGAGATCACGACCTTAGTGGAAAGCAAGAGTTGGACACTTAACCGACTGTACCACCCAGGCGCTCCTACATATTACTTAAGATTTTAAATAATGTGTTGAAAATGTAAAAAATTACCTTGTAGTTGCAGTCAGAAAATTTAATAATAAAGGTAAACAGTACTGAATAAAGAACAGTGACCTTGTGCAGTTAAAAAAAAATTACCTCATTGCCATTTGAAAACTGTGATGCCCCAGGAGTTTTACAGAATCATCTACATTAGGGGGAGAGGAACAAGATGGTGGAGGAGTAGGTGATCTAAATTTCGTCTGGTCCCAGGAATTCAGCGAGTTATCAAACCATTCTGAACACCTACAAACTCAGCAGGAGATAGAAGAAAAGAATAGCAGCAATTCTATGAACAGAAAAGCGACCACTTTGTGGAAGGTAGGAGGTGCTGAGAAGTGAATCCCAAATGATATATGGAAGATAGACTGCCGGGGGAGGGAACCTCCATCAGCCAGTGCCCAGCAAGCAGTGGAGCAGCGGAGTGCTTGGAGATTTTAGAAGTGTGCTCCAGTGAGGGATGTCGCTCCAGTGGCTAAGCGGGGGGTGGAACTCTTGCTGGGACAGTGTGGTCTCAGGTCTGTTGGGGTCACAGAAAGACCGGGGTGCCTAAAGGCTGCAGAAGATGGAGCTGAGGAGGGGCCTCTCAGCTCGGGGTTACCTTAAACCATGACCTGAGGCGCAGTCGGGCCACTGCTCTTCGAGCACGGACCTAACAAGCAGCAGATCTGGGGAGACTCCCCTTCCTCCCCCGGAGGGAGCAGTACAGGGGCGCACTGCAGGAATCTGCTGGGTTTGGAGACTCCAAACGGGGCTGTGCGCCAGAGATAGAAACGCTCAGTCACAGGCTGGGTGAGCACAGAGTGCAGCCGGAGACCAGGGAAATGGGAGTGATTGACCGCTTTTTGCTGAGGGCTCACTGAGGAGCGGGGCCCTGAGTTCTCAGCTCCTTCGTGGCTGGAGATTGGGAGGCCACCATTTCATTACCTCGAAATGCTGTACAGAAAGCTTGCAGGGAACAGAAGCTACCGAAAGCAAACCCAAGCAGATGACTTAGCCTGGCCCCTGGCGAGGGTGGTGCAGTTCCCCCTCGTGCAAAGACATTTGAGAATCACTACAGTAGGTCCCTCCCCAGAAGATCAGCAAGAACATCCAGCCGAGACCAAGTTTACTGATCAGTGAGAACTGCACAGTTGTGGTGCTCGGGGGTACAGTGCATGGAACTCATGGCTTCTCCCTGACGATTCTTGAGTCTTTCAAAGTTAATTTTTAAAATTTTCTTCAATTTTTTCTTTTTCTACTTTTTTTTTGAAATTTTCTTCTTTCCTTTTTCAACTGACAGCTTACAATTCCTTTTTAAAAATCTTTTTTAATTTTATTTTTTATAGTCATACTCTATCCCTTCATTGTATTTGACCTTGTTTTTCGTGTAATGTAAGTTTTCTTTTTTTAAAATTGTGGGATGCAGTTTCTTCTAACGATCAAAATACAACCAAAATCTAGTGTGTGTCTCTGTTCTATTCACCAGCCTGATCATATTCCGCCCCCCTTCCCTTCCTTTCGCCCCGGTTTTGGGTCTCTTCTAATTTGTTTAGTGTATTTTTTTCTGGGGTCGTTGTTACCCTTTTAGCATTTTGTTCTCTCATTCATCTGTTTTCTGGACAAAATGACAAAATGGAAAAACTCATCTCAAAGAACAAGAGGTAGTACTGACTGCCAGGGCCCTAATCAATATGGGCATTAGTAAGATGTCAGAAGTAGAGCTCAGAATGATGATCATAAACATACTAGCTGGGCTTGAAAAAAGCATAGAAGATACTAGAGAACCCTTTCTGGAGAAATAAAAGAACTAAAATCTAACCAGGTTGAAATCAGAAAGGTTATTAATGAGGTGCAATCAAAAATGGAGGCTCTAACTACTAGGGTAAATGAGGTAGAAGACAGAATTAGTGATATAGAAGACCAAATGATGGAGAGTTAGGAAACTGAGAAAAAGATAAACTACCAGTAGATCATGAGGGGAGAATTCAAGAGATAAGGGATACTATAAGATGAAACAATAGTAGAATAATTGGGATCCCAAAACAAGAAGAAAGAGGGGCAGAAGGTATATTGGAGCAAATTATAGCAGAGAACTTCCCTAATTTGAGGAAGGAAACAGGTATCAAAATCCAGGAGGCACAGAGAACACTCACCCCCCCAAATTAGTAAAAATAGGTCAACACCCTGTTATCTAATAGTAGAGCTTACAGGTCTCAGAGAAAAAGAGAAAATCCTGAAAGCAGCTCCAGACAAGAGGCCTGTAACCCGCAACGGTAGAAATATCTATTAGATTGGCAGCAGAACTATCCAGAGACCTGGCAAGCCAGAAAGGACTGGCCTGATATATTCAGAGCACTAAGTGAGAAATATGTGCGGCCAAGAATACTATATCCAGCTCGGCTGTCATTGAAGATAAAAGGAGAGAGAAAAAATTTCCAGGAGAAGCAAAAACTAAAAGAATTTGCGAACATTAAGCCAGCCCTACACGAAATAATTGAAAGGGGTCTACTAAGCAAAGAGGGAGCCTAAAACTACCGTAGACCAGAAAGGAACAAACACGGTATACAGTAATAGTCACCTTACAGGCAATACAATGTCAGTAAATTCATGTCTTTTAGTAGTTACCCTGAATGGAAATGGGCTAAATGCCCCAATCAGATGACACAGAGTATCAGATTGGATAAAAAAAAAAAACAAGACCCATCGATACGCCGTCTGCAAGAGACTCATTGTAGACCCAAAGACACCTCCAGATTTAAAGTGAGGGGGTGGAAAACCATTTACCGTGCTAGTGAACATCAAGAGAAAGCTGGGGTGGCAATCCTTATATCAGAAAAATTAGATTTTAAACCAAAGACTATAGTAATAGATGAGGAAGGACACTATATCATACTTAAAGGGTCTTATCTAACAAGAAGATCTAACAGTTTTAAATATCTATGCCCCTAACATGGGGGCAGCCAATTATATAAGCCAATTAATAACAAAATCAAAGAAACACATGACAATACTACAGTAATAGTAGGGGACTTTAACACACCCCTCACCAAAATGGGCAGATGATTTAAGCAAAAGATCAACAAGGAATAAAGGCTTTAAATGACACATTGGACCAGGTGGACATCACAGATATATTCAGAACATTGTTCCCAAAGCAACAGAATACACATTCTTCTCTAGTGCACCTGGAACATTCTCCAGAATAGATCACATCCTGGATCACAAGTCAGGTCTCAACTGATACCAAAAGATTGGGATCATTCCCTGCATATTTTCAGACCACAATGCTCTGAAGCTGGAACTCAGTCACAAGAGGAAAATTGGAAGAACTCAAGTACATGGAGGCTAAAGAGCATCCTACTAAAGAATGTATGGGTCAACCAGGAAATCAAAGAAGAATTAAAAAAATCTGTGGAAACAAATGAAAATGAAAACACAACTGTTCAAAATTTGGGGGGTACAGCAAAGGTGGTCCTAAGATAGCAATACAGGCCTTTCTCAAGAAACAAGAAAGGTCTCAAGTATACAACCTAAGCCTACACCTAAAGGAGCTGGAGACAGAACAACAAAGAAAGCCTAAACCCAGCAGGAGAAGAGGAATAACGATCAGAGCAGAAATCATTGAAATAGAAACCAAAAGAACAGTTGAACAAATAATGAAACTAGTAGGAGCTGGTTCTTTAAAAGAATTAATAATAATAATAATTAATAACAAGTCTGGCCAGACTTGTTAAAAAGAAAAGAGAAAGGACCCAAATTAATAAAATCATGAATGAAAGAGGAGCGATCACAACCAACACCAAAGAAATACAATTATAAGAACATATTATGAGCAACTATACACCAGCAAATTTGACAATCTGGAAGAAATGGATGCATTCCTAGAGACAAATAAACTAGCAAAACTGAATCAGGAAGAAGTAGAAAACCTGAACAGACCCATAACCAGTAAGGAAATTGAAGCAGTCATCAAAAATCACCCAACAAACAAGTGCCTTCCCAGGGGAATTCTACCAAACATTTAAAGAAGAATTAATACT